GGAGACGGTCGTTGGTATGACATCGGCGTTCCAAACGGAAACGCTGGCTCTAGACTGGGCGCTTGAATGCATTTGCAAATGCGCGTAATGACTGACGCGGCAGCCCAGCCACTCTCGGTGCACAGTACACTTTGCATTCGTCACGCTGTATTTTACTAATGGTTGCGTTCGCTTAGTTCCCCCTGTCCTCTTGCCTCCTCTCCTTCTTTGTGATGTGTTTTTGCTTGCGCAGTGGAGTTGCAACGGCATCTTCCCTCTGACGGTTGTTGGCCCTCGGGGTCGCTATGAGCCAAGTGGTGTTGTAGCACACGTAACTAGCTTCCTTGCACGCGCGCGACAGTGCCTGCGGACGGACCAAACAAACAAACCTTTGGTATGGGCAGTTGCGGCAGGGCTGTCAGCTCGGCTGTTACCGGATTGACGCTGCAGTCCGTCGAAGTCTCGGTGTGAGTTACTCTTTAAGCTGAGGCTAGCGACGGCGAGGATGAGGAGAGGATGGAGGCGACCCCCGAGGAGGCGGAGGACGAGATTTGGTTGGACGATGAGGAGCGATTATCAAAAGGAGGAGGAGACGGAGGAGGAGGAGGAGAAGGAGGAGGAGAGGGAGGTGTTGGGAGAGCAAGAGTTGGAAAATTGCGCTGGTGATAATATGAGGATGAGGGCGTAGAGGCGGAGCATGAGAAGGAAGGAGTGGTTACGGAAGATGAGGGGTTGCCAGTGGAGTTGGCGGAGTGGGAGGGGAAGGAGAAATAGGACGAAGAGGGATTTAGTAGGACTATGTGGAGGATCTGAGGTGGAATTCGGATGGGCAGGAGGGATGGGATTGGCAGGAGGAAGGAGGAGTTGGGACCGGTAGCAATGTCAGTAGCGCTATCAGTAGTACTACCAGCAACAGTCTGTAGCTGTTATTGACGCTTCTCGTATCCCCACTAGCCCATCCAGAAACGATGCCCATTAGAGTTGACGGGGGTAGAGAGGAAGAGACACGCATAGTCAAACAGCGATGGAGGCCAGCCTGGACGGCGTGTTGAGGCCATCTCTGGGCTCGCGTGGGGGGGGCGAAGAGGAGGAGAAGGAGGAGGAGGAGGAAGAGGAGGAGGAGGAGGAGGAGGAGGAGGGAGGGGGCATGAGGAGCAAGACGAGGAGAAGAAAGACGAGGATGAGGAGGACGAGGACCAAGAGAGTGAGGATGAGGATGAGGAGGAAGGGGAGGGGGAGGAGAATGAGGAGGGCATGAGGATGAGGATGAGGATGAGGATGAGGAGGAGGAGGAGGAGGAGGAGGAAGAGGCTGAGGAGGGGGGCTCTCTTGGAACGCTCTTGGGCGCTTTTGGGGCCGTCTTGGAGCTCTCTTGGGGCCTTCTTGGGGCTCTCTTGGGAATCCTGGAGGCCCTCTTGGGGCCATCTTGGAGGCTATCGATCAAAAGAGGGGGTTCCTTTATCTCCGTCCCCCTTCTAGGGCCCTGAAAACCGTCTCTTGGGGCGCTCTTGGGGCCCCCTGGGGGCGCATTTGGGCGCACTTGGGCGCTCTTGGGGCCGTCTTGGGGGCCTCTTGGGACTCTCTTGGGGCCTTTGGGCCATCTTGGAGCCATCTTGAGGCCTCAGAAGCGCATCTGAAGCGAAAAGGCGAGGATGCAAACATCGTTGATTTTCTTCAGGTTTTTGACGGATTTTTGGGGAGGTCCTGAGCGGTCCTTGGGGGCACCTGGAACCGTCTTGTGGCCCTCGTGGGGCCTCTTGGAGGCATGTCAGAAGCTGTCTTGAACCATCTTCGGCTGTCTTGAGCCGTCTTGGAGGCCATCTTGGAGCATCGGAGGCCCTCTTCGAGCCATCTTGGGCCATCTTGGACGCTCCAACCCCTTTGCGGAACAGGGGAGGAGGTAGGGGGAGGGGTAAACCCCTCCCCGAAGGGGAAGAAGGGGCTTCGGAAGAGGGAAGAGGACTCTCGTTGGACCACCTGTCGCCCAGAGTGCTGGTGGGATTAGTAGGGGCAGTCGTAGCAGCAGTGGTGGTGGTGGTTGTAGTGTCGTAGCAGTCTTGTAGTAGTACTGCGACCCTTGATTGGACGCGTCCTTTCTATTCAGAGTGCGACCACGCGCGCACTCGCGTGCACACGCGAGCGCGGAATCAGTAGATCTGCGTCCTTCTCCTCGTCCTCCGCCTTCCCTTACATCTTCTTCTCTCCCTCCGCCTCCTTCTCTCTTCCGCATTAGTTGTGCAGGCAACGGAACCCTGGCCAGGTAAGATGTCATGCGTAATATCATGTGGCCATCAAAAACGGCACATACCCCGTACCAACCGCACCCGGGGAACAGCGAACCTTAGGCGCAACATCGAAGCTGATGTACCAACAGCAGTAGCTATAGCAATGCAAAGCAATGCGTCGGGAGTCCTGAGGTCGGGCGCATGTTTCGATGAGGAGATGTTTGGATACGGGAGTGGGGAGAAGAGGAGGAGGATGAAGAGGATGAGGAGGATGTGCTGGAGGATGAGGAGGATGAGGAGGAGGACGAGGAGGATGAGGAGGACGAGGACGAGGACGAGGATGAGGATGAGGATGAGGATGAGGATGAGGATGATAATGATGATGATGATGCTGATGATGCTGATGATGATGATGATGATGATGGTGATGATGAGGATGAGGATGAGGATGATGATGATGATGATGAGGAGGATGAGGATGAGGAGGAGGAGGACGAGGAGGAGGAGGATGAAGAGGAGGAGCAGGAGGGTGAGAATGAGGATGGGAAAGATAGCAGGAGGAGTCAGGATTGTCGTGCTGTTCGGAGGAGGAGGAGGTGGAAGAACGGGAAGTCGTTGTGTTTCCTCCGCCTAGGGGATGGGGGCGGCGAGACGGAGGAGGGAGGAGGACAATGAGGAGGATCTGATGTACGAGGGAGGAGAAAAGGACGAATAATGCTGGTGCCGATGCTGCTGCTGATGGTTATTGGTGATGACGATGACGACGTTGATGAGGAGTCTGAGGAGGAAGGCGAGGCAGGAGATGGGAGGATGTAGCCACGAGGCAGAGGGAGGATCAGGAGGAGGAGGAAGATGAGGAGGAGGAGGGGGAAGGAGGAGGAGAGGCGGAGAAGGAGGAGGAGGAGGGAAGGATGAGGAGGAGAAGGATGAGGAGGAGGAGGAGGAGGACCGCTGTTAACCCAGTTCGAATCAACCCTCCCTCCAAGCTCCCTCTTCATAGGCTCCTACAAGGGTTCATTTCCACTGAGGGAATTGCTTCGCTGGGAAACAGCCGTTTGAAGCCCCTGAAGCGTACCAAAGCACCATTCTCGGGACTCCAACGCTATGAATCAACACGACTGCTGCATCTTGACGACCTGGAGTCGTGCTAGAACACCATTCCTGGGACTTCGACGCCGCGAATCAAGGTAATTGTTGCGCCCGCACAGTCCTGACTCCCTCCAGAGCACACTGTCTAGCACATTGACCATAGGAATCCGTGAAACTCTTGCAAATCTTTAAGACGAGTATGCGCGGCGCTAAGGCGGGAGCCACATTTTGAAAACCACCCGCCCTCCATCCGTGAAGCTCTCGCGAGTTTTTAGAACGAATGTGCGCGGGTCAGAGGGGAGAGCCACATTTTGAGAACCACCCGCCGTCCACCCATGAAGCTCTTGCAAGTTTTAAAAGCGAATGTGCGCGATGGTGAGGCGAGAGCCACATTTAGAAAATCACCCGCCCTCAATCCGTGAAGCTGTTGCAATGTTTTACAACGAATGTGCGGGGCGCTGGTGAGAGCCACATTTTTGAAGCGCCCCGCCCTCCGCTGTTGCGAATTCTTAAGCTTCAGGGTCATAAATGGTGGGGACGTCTGAGGCGAAACGCCTAGCCCGTCCTTTCGACTGGCCTCGGGGTGCGACAGGGAGAAGTGATTCAAAGGAAATGAAAGGAGGAGGAGGAGGACCAGTGTAAACCCAAGGCTCATCAGCGATGTTGGAATGCACCCTCCCTCCAAGCGCCCTCTTCATAGGCCCCTGCACCGGCTCATTTCCATCGAGCGCAATTCCCCGTTGGAAGGCAACCGTTTAAATACCCTGAAGCATGCCAAGACATGGTTTTCGGGATTCCAACGCCACGGATAGACCTGTCTGTTGCGTCTTGACGATCCTGAATCGCACCAGAACGCCATTCCTGGGACTTCGACACACCGAATCAACATAACTGTTGCACCCGCCTGATCCTGAATCCTTTCAGAACACCATGTTGGTGCGTTGACGACGGGAATCTGTGGAACTCTTGCAAATTGTGTGTACAAGTGTTCGAGGCGCTAGAGCGAGAGACACATTTTGAAACAGAACTGCCCTCAATATGTGAAGCTCTGTTAATTTTCAAAACGACTGCGCGCTAAAGCGATAACCACATGTTGGAAACCACCCGCCCTCAATCCGTGAAGCTCTTGCGACTTTTATCAACACATGTGCGCCGCGAGAGACACATTTTGAAAAGGAATCGCCCTCAATCCGTGAAACTCTTGCACATTTTAGAAACGAATTTGGGCAGCGCTAAGGCGAGAGCTACATTTTGGAAACCACCCGCCTCCAATCCGTGAAACTCCTGTAAGTTGTGCAGAAATATGCGCCCCCCTAAGGTGAGAGCCGCATGTTAAAAACAACCCGCCTTCAATCCGTGAAGCGCTTCCCAATTTTGACAACGAACGTGCGCCGCGCTGAGGCGAGAGCCACATTTTGGAAGCGACCCGCTCTCCACCTGTGAAGCTGTTGCGAATTCTTAAGATTCAGGGTCATAAGTGGTGAGGACGTCTCAGGCGGAACGCCCGGCCCGCCCTGAAAACTGGCCTCGGTGTGCGACGCGGAGAAGTTATTTATGAGGAGCAGGGAGGGAGGAGGAGGAGGAGCAGGAGCAGGAGGAGGAGGAGAAGGGAGGAATGGGGGAACGGCGGGGGAGGCTGCAGGGGGGCATCATGGTGGTGAACGGGGGGAATAGTGGAGCACGGGTCGTTTGGGCGGAGGGTGCGAG